GGATGCCGACTACGGAATGGAGCAACTATCAGCCACCTTCTCTACATGGATGACATTAGGCTGTATGCCAGGAGTGAACGAGACATTGACTCACTGATCCACACCACTAGGATCTACAGCCCGGACATTGGAATGTCATTCGGACTGGATAAGTGTGGTCGCTGAAACAATCCAGCACATAACAGCGGGGTGCAAGATGCTAGCAGGCAGGGCATACATGGAACGCCATAACCAAGTGGCTGGCATAGCGTACAGAAACATCTGCTCCGAGTACAGGCTGGAAGTCCCAAAGTCAAAATGGGATACACCTCCAAAGGTCCTGTGGGGCTTCCAGATACAAACTGACAAACTGGTAATGGCAAGCCAGCCAGATGTAGTAGTGGTGGACAAACAGGAGAAAAAGGCCATAGTGATAGATGTAGCCATCCCAAGCGATAGCAACATCAGGAAGAATATTTCAGTTTGTCTTTTTTAATAAATCTGCAAAAATGTCAAAAATTCTGTGTTTTTCTGTCAATATGGGGTGCTGTGTGTACATTAATGAGGAAAAAAAATGAACTTAAATGATTTTAGCATATGGCTGCAATATAACAAAGAGTGAAAAATTTAAGGGGGTCTGAATACTTTCCGTACCCACTGTACATGGATGTGCTAAAAGAGCACATGAAGTTAATTGGTGTGAGAGTAGAAGATGCCAAGGATAGAGTTAGGTGGAAACAGATGATTCGCTGTGGCGACCCCTAATGGGAACAGCCAGAAAGAAGAAGAAGAAGAAGACAACATATGCATACACATAAGGACAAAACATGCACAAACTCTAACACATTGTTGCTGTCTGTTGAGAAACCTATAAACTTTATCTGTTCATGAGCCTATAAATATAGCACTGTTTTTAGCTTTGTGACAATGCATTTTTTATATAATCCAAAGGTTGTTAAATGGTTTGTTTAGCTTAATGAATAGAATAATTTTCTTAAAGGTTAAAGGTTTTATCATTCAGTATATCTGGAACATTTTAAACAACCAAATTCAGCTAAAATAGCATTTCTGATCCTTAATTTCCTGAGTTTCTACACTTTGCCCACCTCAGCCTGATTGTGCTGTAGCACTGCCCTCCTTAATAACAGACTACAGTGCAAACATTAAACTGCTTTTGCAACTGAAAAGCAGTGTGCAAATGGGAAAAATTATATGGGCACATGTGCAAGTGACTCTGATTTGTGACATCAAGGTTGGGAAAATACAGGGATTTACTAAGTTTTAATGTTAATTATCATTAGTAACAAGTAGCTGGTACTGACTGTTGCTTTCAGCAGTTATAAGAACAAACAGCCTATATCAGTGGTCATACTTTCCCCTTCAATTGAATGGGAAAGTATGACTAGATTTTGACTGGTAGTGTATTTCACTTGAGATGTGAACAATTTGACCTGCCACTGACACTGCAAAAAAAGTCAAGCCAAAAAAGGAAAGACGCAGCATATGTCATTAAGAGTCACCCTGCTGGAACTATGAATGACTACACCAATTGTCATGGCAATTCATCCAATAGTTGTTTAACTAGTCCAGGCCAAAGTGGTGGACAAATTGACCGTACCACCATAATAGTCATGCTGCTAGCACAGCTAAAAAAACATTATAGATGGAATGGAATATGTAAATAAGGAAAAGAAAATTACAAATAACTTATGAATGAATTCATGGTTTATTTTATTACATTTTGTTTCTAAACAAGACACTATAGTAATAATAAAAGCCAAATTACTTTTTATACTTCGCTTCTGTGTGAGCTACTGTTATGGTGCCTCAGACCCTGTTTTACTCCTACACCTCTATATTTAACACTAAAATGGATGTAACACAGACCTGTTTTCTTGTGATAAACACAACCACAGATGTGTTTAGCCAAAGCCAAACGGGCGCGTTTTCAATACAACTCAGTAAGACAAATTTGATAATGGTGGTGGTGGTGATGGTGGAGTGTGAGAAATAAAACTCTGTGTCCTCATTTTGAGCTTGATAACCATACCGCCATCCCCTCTTCCTCTCCTCTTCCCCATTTCCTCTTCCTTTCTCCCTTCAGGCTCTATGACGCGACAAGAGCTCCCCTCAGCACTCTTGCACTATGGAGAGCACTGATGGCCCCTTGACAGACAGCCAAACACCATCTACCACCAACACCACCACCCTACCACCAACATCACAACAATTTCACCAAAATCCTGGTCCCGCAAAGGCAGAATGCAACACAAGTGCACCAAGGGCACTTGGAGGCAGCAAGGTACAGCAGAAATCCCCTCAATCTGTATCTCGACCCATCATTAAATCCTTTTGTCTGTTATTGATGATATCAATTGTCTATCTTTAGAATTAAAGGCTTTGATTTAAAAACCAAAAAAAATAGACAATAAAAGTGGCCATACATCACCATGCGCCTGCAGGCACAGCCCATTTACAGTTTTTTCAGAATCATTATTCCTTATATTATGTGTCTTAATAATTATAATTTTTTTATAGAATCTGTTTAAAATCATTACTAGACCACACCATCCTCTTCATCATCCTCCAATACAAACAACAGGAAGCATGGACACAAACACATAAATTCTGATACAATTTAAACAACTGTCTGCTTGTTTGATATCTGTATTTGGCTTACTTATTTTTCCATAAGCTCACCAGTTCCCTAGTGTGTGTTTAACCACAGAAAATCCATGTGTGCAGCAGTAACAGTAAAACACAATGGTTTCGTATTCAGCTTGTTTTTGCTCTGCTTTATTGGCTTGCCTTGTATATTGTACTTTAATGTATTGTGTCAGGTGGCGTCTGCACGCTCAAATAAAATAAGGCGCCAGACAGACAGTGATATTAATGCATGTGATTGGGAAATAGAAAGAGCCATGTTGTAAATTTAATGTGCAGTCTAATAAAAGGGATGAGGCCTAAGTCATAAAATGCCCAGTCTTATAGAGTTTCTGAAAAGCAGGCTCTTCTGTCAGTCAATATTGTCAGCATTTATGGCCCATGTTACGATTCGCTTTCTTGAAAATATCTGATCCTGCTGCTTTTCAGACCAGACAGTGAGTCTTCAGAAGATTTGAGACTATAAATAGATGCAGGGTGGAGTGCATGTGAAGAATTCAGATCCCAGCACAATGCATCATATAGAAGATTATTGTCTGTTTACTCACAAAGTAGGCTATCTAACATTTCAGCAATACGATATCACCTGCAGTCATCTGATCCCATACAGCGGCATGCAGTACAGTTGCTTGTAAAAACAGATATAGTCTATCACAGCATAATAAGGGCAACATATCAGGCAAGTTCTTTGTATCTAAAACACATCAGTGACATTTTGTTATTCCTCCGTGACACCACCACATGATTAAATGTGGTCTAATATTTCCTCCTGAGCATTAAAGTTCCAATCATACTGTAGAACACAGATACTGTAGTAAAATGCATTTACATTGATGTTCTGAAGAAATGCAGTATGAAAGAGTTGATAATGACATAACACCCTGGATAGCTTTGAACTCTCTCTTATTGTGGAGTAGGTCCTGTATGCCCTGCATACATGTTCATGTATTTTGAGCTTAACATCTGCTTCAGACATTACCCAACTTTACAGCATGTTATGAGTGATTTCCCATTCCTTATTAACCTGTGGATCCTTCCCAAGTCACAAGATCGCTTATGAATATTCATCTAGCAGGCTATTGTGCAGCTCGCATTCTCACATCCAAGTGAAAACGTGCTGATGTTGCGACACTACACTTGCCTTCTTGTATCAGTGATTCCAGCTCATGTACAAAACCATTCAATCACGCGTCAATTAATCAGATGCATGAATCACAACTATCAGTGTCTGGATAAAGAGTTTGGAGAGACTGAGTAGATAATTTTTCTTTCATACATGCCCTTTCACGCATTCACCACCACATTGTGACATTTTGAGGGGAGTCAGCAAGAGTTCACACAGAGGAAATGTCAAGCTGGGGCCATATGTTTGGGTGCTTTCAGTCGTCCTACTCCCAGCTGGAGAAAGACTCCATATATATTGTGAATATAGTTTTCTTAAGGTCTAACAGATGTTGCTGCATGCACCTTCACTCTGCGCATGCAGAATGCACAAATTCACACACATTCACATATATTCACCAAAGTGGTTCAGCTTGGCCCAGAGACAGGAAGCTCTATGTAACATCGCTGAAATAAAATGTTTTCTCTTGTCCCTGACTGAACACTGCTGGGTACACAAAGATACGGTATGTATTGAGTGGCTTGCCTGCTTGATCCATAACAAGAGACGCCTGCACAAATGAGCTCTGTTCATGACTTTCCCTTGTGTTACTATGACACCAGCAGCAGTTATCAGTCCCACTCGAAAGTCTAATTCTCTTTCTGGTCTTGTTTGAACAGTCAGACCCACTCAAGTCAAAGTTTGCCCATGTGTTCAGCAGCTAAACCGACTCTGCATCACGTTTCTCTCAACTCAACACTATTCTGGCACAAGAATGTAAAATATTATCTCATCATTATAAGATGTAAAATAGAGTAATATGGTCGTTTCCTAATAAACTCAAGGTAATAATCACCTAGGGCTTGAGAATTTTATTCATAGGGCAAATTCATCTCATATTCATCTGACATTCATTCCTCTTTTTAATAGAAGGCTTCCATTTCCCTGAGATGAGGTTTGTGTGTGAGATTTATGGGGAACCATTTGCCACAGTGTGGGTGTGAGACAAAGGCAGAGAGAATATAAGAAATGTACCATGATAGACACAAACTGTGCTGTAGCTTTCATAAAACAAGACCATCTCTATGCCTGGCATCTGTTTACATTCATCTGCATTCTAGTTCTCTTGAGAGTTCTACAACATCTCCATGCAGTGAGTCTGCCCTCCCTCAGTTTTATCAGTAGCTCCCTCAGCATTCAGTGCCACTGTAATCTCAGTTTGCCCACTAGGAGGTGCTGACAGGGGGAAAGTGTGCTTACACTGGGATTAAACATCTGTTTGGGCAGCAGTCACAGTCAAGTAGTTAGCACAGTCATGCCCCTGCTTTAAGCCCTTACACCTGTGGGTCATTTCATGGCCAGCTCCAACAAAACCACGATGTGTATTTTCCCTGAGCCTCAAACATTGTCATCTGTGATACATGCTAGTACTTTATCCAACATCTGCCCCTTTCATGGCAATTTGCACCCTGTGAAATCATCAAGAGTTCAATTATTATGAAATAAGCCTCTGTGGCAATGCAGCAGTCTTGGAAGGCATCGGTTCCTCCATCAAACTGGCTGTGTGACTGGCAGGAGCCAGATGGTGAAGAGGCTTCCAGATTTGTCTTTCTGTGGTAGATTAATTGTTTTTCGGTCTCTGCACTGTGAGACCTGATTTTTTTCTTGGGTTACACCCGCTGAAAAATTCTAAATATTTGATTCGCAGACTGCTTGATTTGACAAAGAGTAATTTGTTCAGTTAATATTCTTTATCTAACAATGCAATCAGAGTACTGTAATTAACTCAGTTTCCCAAGGAGCAATGGGTATACATATTTCTTGTGGCAACACACAATGTATGATTCTCCCATAACAGTTTTTCTTATATGAGTTGTATGAGAAATATAATAGTAATTCCATTTTAAAAAACAAGCTATAGTGTGCTAATCAGTGAGCTTTAGATGAGTAGTAGGAAGATTCTGTTGTGTTAGGGCCAAGCCAGGCTAGCTGCTCCCCCCTGTTTCCAGTATTTTTGCTAAGTTAAACTGTCTGCTAGCTGTATACAGTAGGCATAAAATCATTCCAAAGACTTAAACAAATAGTTCAACATTTTGGGAAATTTGCTTTTTCTCTTTCTTGCCAAGAGTTTGTGTGAGGACTAATACCACTTTCTTGTCTTTGTGCTAATTATGAAGCTACTACCAGCAGGTGGCTGGCTTAGCAAACACCCAGGGCTAGCACAGGAGCAAATAGCTAGCCTCACTCTATACAATAATAAAGTCTGCCTACCAAAACCCCTGCAGCTCACTCATTGACATGTAGCTATATTACTGGAGAAAGTAGACTGTAAGTTCACAGTGCACACTCAGTATTGGTGACTGTGATAAAACAATCATCTCATAGTTGTTCTGTTATTGTGATTCCCAGGTCTCGTAACACAGCCAGAGGCAGGAAAACCAGGGAGTGACTGTTTGAGGGAGTGAGCTCTCCCCTGGACACTGGACAAGCTACTCACTGTAAAACATTTCCTCTTTCCTGTGACGGCTCCTCCAGGTTTGTGACTGCTCCCTCCTGCCATTGAGTCCCTCTGTCATTGAGTCAACATGTTGCATCCACCTCCTCTCTCCACTCTATCTGCCTGCTCTGTGAAAATAGCGGCACCTGCTCATTCCATGGAGGACCGGACACCTTGAAATCTCATGAATGGTTTTTTGCCTCACTGGATCTTTGTTTGGAGCTGCTAACGGCTGTCACTAAAGGGATTCGCCACATCACTCTCCTTGCCTCTAGAGCAGGAGGTTCCAGAGCATAGACGGGATCATTACAGACCAGACCCTGTTGCTTCTCGGATCACCTCCCGAGGCCATAAAAACTGAACCTAACGCTGTCTGCTGTGAATAGGCCTTCTGCTGGAGTAAACCTCCCATATTTTTTATAGACCAAAGAGCAAAACAACAAATAGGATCATTATGAAAGAGTGGACCATCTGGCAAAGACACACAGGGACTTTGTGAACTTGCTGCTTGTGTCTGCACCGGCCAACAACTGCCCCCACAGAGGTACGGTGCACAAGCGGACAGACTGAAGCCTGCATCCATTGGCACATGTACTGTGAACAAAAGAGTACTTTTAAAACTTTGCAGACATTTTTTTCTCAGACTTAGTCCACCACTGTATTTTGCAACTGGAGATATAGGCACTACATACATATAACTGTATGAAAAAATGAATTGATTTGCATTTTTCAGTAGCTATGGTTGGGACAGCTTGCAGGTAGAATTGTCAGATTGGTCAGCTCAAATCATATCAAAGAAATCAGGAATATCTGTAGAGGGTATAACTGCTGCTTAGCGTGAAAAGGAGGAGTAAAGAAATGTCATTAAATGTATTTTGAAAGGCCCTAAAAAGTTATATATTTAACAGTTTTATATGTTGTACCTTTGTAGAGAAGCTTATTGGACTTAAAATGTGGTCACAATGGCAGTTTAGTAGGATGTGAACAAATGCTGTTGTTCTCATTACTGCTGGCTAGTAGTCCCAGGTTTTTTGTTTACACCTCAGTAGCTGCTTTCTTTTCATGGTCATCTATAAGTCAGTGTCTACCAGAACCATTAATGGGGAAAAGGAAAGTAACAATTTACTGAGGACTGATCTGCAGCCAACTGAATATTGTAAATCTATGGTAGTCAGTGGAAGCCATTGAAATTTGCTAATTTGCTATGATATTGTATTGTACACAGTGTGGAATACTGACTCATTTCCTCTCTATGAGTTTTGATCTCTTAATTTATTTTTGTGCTTGTGTTTGGTCGCAGAAATTTGGCCTCTCTCTGATCGCAAGGAATACAACGATGAGAGCCAGGGAGAGAGAGAGAGAGCGTAGAAGAAGCATTGCAGAAATATTAGTCATTTACATAAATTTTTTATTATGAAATATTTTAAGAATAAATTAAATACATGAAAAGAAATGTGCCCTGCAAATTTAGATGGTCGTGGGAAATTCAATTGATCTTATTATGGTTTTACTTTTAACTGTTCTGTCACAAAAAAAAAAAGAGGAAACACTAAATGAAAGTTTTGTTTTCTGTGCCAGGTCATCAGCTGGGTTTAAGACCAGATTCAAATCCCAAATGGGAAAGTAATGGTAAAATTTATGTTGGGGATAAGCATCAAGGCACTTCAATCAGCAGTAAGAGCAATTGATGATTGATTGATTGATTGATTTATTCTTTCAAACATGCAGAACAAAACAAATGACAGCAACACACACATAATTACACATATCCAACCAATGCTAATCCAAAATCAGTTTGCTTACACCTATTACATGTTTGAATGGAGTAGGAAGAAGTCAGACTTATCCAGTCCTACCCCATGACATCATATTATACAAAAATGTTTATCTGCACTAGTGAATAACAAGTAATTTTACTGGTCAGATGCCAGACATCAGTAAGTGCACAACTTTGTTGTGGTCGCTGGAAAAGAATAATACACCTATCAATTTTTTGGTACTCCCATGAGCCAGCAAAAAGCAAACTTTCTGCTAATGAGCCAAATATAATGACCAACATACACAGCATGTTGCAAATCACTCTGTCATGACACATTCCTACCATAACTATCATTACGATTTACGGCAACCTGTGCCACAGGAGCTCTTCTGTCTGTTGCCCTCATGTGATTTGAACCTCTTCAGACCACAACTAACTACTGACCAGAAGCACCCTGCAAGCCTTGACATTTTGAAGATGCTCTGACCCAACTGTCTGGCTGTAAAAGTTAGGCCCTTGTCAAAGTCGCTCAGGTCTATACACCTGGAGATGTCTCCTGCATCCAGCATGCTGACTACAAGTATTGAGTGCCAGTACTACAGCACTACTTACAGTCCTACATTTCCAAGATCTTAATATGTGATATTCTAACAAAATAATCAACATTATTCACTTCATCTGTGAATGCTCATAATAGTTTGGCTTGCTGGTATATTCTTTGCTGTTGCGTCTTTTGGAAAAGCAATAGTACCTTTGATATTTAAGGACATCTCAACCAATTGGTAAAGCATGTTTTTTTTTTTTTATAAAATTATTAACAAAGTTAGCACATTTTTAGGATGTATTAATTTACACACTTCTGTTCCTTAAACTCAATTTACTGTATACTAATCTTCAGCAGAAAAGACTGATTACCTATAAAATGCCATCATAAACAGGTCATATGCCAAGAGAGATTTCTGTAATTTTGTTCCTGGAAGAGAGTCACCTGAAGAGGTCTGGTTCTGAAAACAACAGTGCACTCTGGGAGACATACTATGCATGAATGTGCTACTTGGCTCACTTATGTTTAATATGACTAAACTATCACAACTCAAAACATTCTAATGCTCTACCGAAATGGTAAACAAGACCATTACAGGGTTAGCGACCATATCCTGTTTGTGGGTCATGCGGGGCAGGTGCCAATCCCAGCACACACTGGAGGACACACAGACCCCTGGTCAAAAACAGTATACACGCACACCACATATGTCCTGGTAAAGTAAATGTTTAAAATAACATGAAAAAGATTTACAAGACATCAAAGGGAAAAAAATAAGCAAGAGCCAACAAAAGGCAAACTGGTGAAACCTCTGCAGAGGAAATAGTATAGATGAGAAATGGCAATTATAAGAATAAAATAAAGTGAATTCACTATTTTATTCTTATAATTGCCATTTTCATCTATCTATATATATATTCTACTAATTATAATCCAGGGTTAACAATGAAAAACTCTTTTCATTGATGATAGGTCTGAGAGGAGATTCACACAATAACTGGTCATAATAATAAAATACATTTTCAGAGAATTAATCCGCACAGTGTAAACATGCAATTATGCATTTTACAGAACTCTTATGTGGAGAGTGAATGTGGATTTGCAGTACAGTGTTGAAGGGCCACTGAGTTGACCTCACTAGATGGTACTCGTCATAATAATAACTGTATTACTATTGGCTCCATAGCTGACTAGGGCTCATTATGTGGCTGTTTTCAGTGCCACTTAAAAATAACAATTTAGCTGCAGAGTGATTCAAGTGGTATACGCTTTTCTCAGAGACAGTGCTCGGAAACTATAATGTCCATGCAGTTTCTGCACATGTTCCAGTTAAAACAAATAAGCAAGATATGTCACTGCCCTGTGAAAACCTTATATATTCATACATGGATTATTTTTACTCTCAGATCTATGGAAATGTGTTTTAGATAGTCCAGTGGAGTTTGAAATTGTGCATTTAAACTATAGAAGAAGTTTCATCACATAAAAGGAAAACCAATCTTTCTGTATACCTGAAAATGATAAAATCAACAAATGTGGAGATACAGTTTTCACTGGACAGCATTACAAATAAATAATAATGTTTATGACTCTAGAGAAGAGACAGCATTTACACAAAGCACACTATTCAAAAGGTGATTTACTGGTAGTACTCAGTACTGATCAGGTTCCACTTCCCATCATTTGATTGCTTGAGCTTCACTGTGCAGAAATGTGTAGTGCA